CTTTTTTTTTTTTTTTTTTTTTTTTAACATCTAAAAACAACAGTAGTAGGCAGAAGGATAAGTCTTATACGTTTCACCCACTGATCATCATACAGAACTAGATTGTGCCACAGATGGGTTTCCTCTTGACTTCACTTAGTGAAGGACTTACCTCCAGGAGCTGTACCATTTCAGTTTTGTCTGTAATAGTCCCTTATTCTATCAGCTTCATCCACATTGGGTAGCTATGAGACGTAGAGGAGGGAGAGCACATAGCATCTTGTAGATTGTTCAACTTGGAAGATGTTTGCTTTATTTTTCTTCCTCTTTTGGATTATTATCTACTGCTCGACTGGTCAGAAGGAACGCTGCTTACTGGCTTTGAAACAATGTCCATGCAGCTGAAATTTCTTGCTGCTTCTGCCTGTGACTTGCATAAGCTGTGCAGGAGTATCAGTCGTTCTGCAAAGCTGACCTGTAGTATTTCAATATTTCAGAAATTAATTTAAAGCCTTGAAAAGAACCATCCCCAAAATGTAAGTCTGAGTTATTTTAAGAGAGAAGCTTCCAGCAATATTCCTTTTAAAGCTAAGGGATTCCAGTGCAGTTCCTGATACCCTCTTGCCTCCATGTTTGAAATCAGCATTACTTCAAGCTTATTGTTTGTGCTGTGACCTCTCTAGGGCCTCTGGTACACATTATATTTCAGTCTCAATCAATGTGTTAATTGTGCCAGATAAACATGCCATATATATATATTGTGTTTGTAGAACCATAAAATGGCAAACCAGTTGCAAAAATATTCCACAAAAAATGTGCAGTATATTTGTGGCTGGTATGTATGGTGCCATAAACTGAACATGTGGCATGCCCTGTCATCCTGATGCTGGCAGTCACCCAGAGAAACACTGAAGAAGGCAAAGTACTGGGTAATGGCTGACCAGTGGTGGAGCGGTTGGAGTGCGGAGATGGGAAGTCAGAGAGACGTGAGTTCATACCCTCTTTGGGTGACTGATGAGGACCCAGATCCCAGGGCCTCCAGCTTCACAGGAGCGTCCTAGCCACTGAATTATTTGGGATGGGGAATTGGAAATTTCTCTCATTTAATTGCCAGTGCATATGCCCAGTCTGAGTATGTATGTAGTCAATTGTGTGCAGAGAGCTGTACATTTAGGAATATAATGCCAGTAGAGTACAAATAGAGTGCACACCTAAGTAGTATTGTTGGCATGCAAGTGACCAAATCTGGACACTTCAACAGCCAAGAGGTATTAGAATGCTCCCCCCATCCTCATTTCTGTGCATCTTAGAAAGTTTTTGATTGGTTTGGCCTCTAAAAGAAGAATTCTGCTTCAAGGCTTCAGTCTTTTCCTAAAGTAGGGGAGCTTCTGTTGCTGTTTGCTTTTGCTTTTGGGATGTCCTTTTTTTTTAACTTGGCCAGGCTATTAAAAACACCTTTGAAGATGCATCAGGTATTAAACGTGATGCTTAGGGGGTCTCCAGTTTTCATCTTTCTAAACAAAACAATGTTGGCATTGGTATTTCTCCTTTGGTGGCATTAGTTGAGTTGCCAGTTACTGTATTACTGTTTTGTTTTGGGACGTTCTTTCAGTTACTTAAACTGAAGGGCTGAGACTCCTGCTCACATGGTGCCTTGCAGGGCAATAAGGCAAATTTATTTCTTCAAATTATTTTTTGGGCATTCCCTAGTTTATCGCTTCTTGACCTCTTGAAGGCTCAGATCAAGTGTATTACCTCTGTTTTACTAAAATGAGAAGTATGATGCAATAATAAATATAACATATTTTACTTTTCTTCTATTAGCAGATGGTTACAGCAGTTCAGACTCATATACTTCAGATCCAGAGCAAATTGGAAGCACTGTTACACGACAACGGTCAGTAGAGTAGCCACTGAAAAATTATTCATGGTTTCTAAGTAGGATAAACTGCCTGGTCTGATTTGTTGGGCATTTATTAAGTAGCTATTTCAACTGCAAAAAGATGTGTGGTAGCCCTTAATTTAACAACCAAGAGCTCTGGCATCGGCCTGTTGCCTAGTATGGTAAAAATGTACATGTCTGCCTTTCATAAATGTGTACAGCTAAAACTTCACAGAATAGCGTCACTTAAAGTAACAACCCTACAACTTCACGATACAGACTTCTTTCTGAAATGTAGTTACCTAGCATACTGCCAGTTTCATTCATTTAAAAAACTTCAGTAGCTATTTATATCAAGAAGCTAAATATAACATCTTATATTTGAGGAGTTTTTACAAACTGCTTAAAAATAATACAACATAAAGTATAGTGTCTCCCATTTATGGGGCTGTTTACAGTGGAGCTGAAGAAGAAGCTCTACTGTTACACTACATTAAAATCAGTTTCAAATATCAGCTTCAAAACTAAATTAGATGACTTCACCTTCATGTTGTAATTAACTTAAAAGTACTTGAAAACATTTTTTCCCAATTTTAATGACAAAACTGATTCTTTATACTACATTTATATACCACTTTACATTATCAAAATGATGGTTTCCTGTTCAGTTTTTTTATTATCCTTGGTTTTTGCTCGTTCCCTCTAATTGCTTAAGGAGTGTTTACTCATTTTTAATTGTTGCTTGGGTCTTTTTTCCTGAATGTATAAAGTGAACCAGACCTTCCGTCTAACCTTTTCAAGTTCTGAGGAAATCTAGTCAGGAAATCCTTTCCACCTTCATCTTTCTGTTCCTTCTTTGACATGAAAGTATGTAGGAGATTCTGTCCTGTCTAGTTCATTGAGATGACCAGTATCTGCTGTGGGGGGACAGTTCCCCCAATATTAGAGGTGCACCAATGCATCGGTCCATATCGTATTGGCACCAATAAAAGGAAAATTGACATTATCAGTAGTCGGATTTTTTTGGTTAATGTGGCTGATAATGTTGCCAATTTAAATGCCATGTGCAGGGGCACATGCACACAACCAGGAGTCCAGCCCAGCAGCTTGGAGAGCAGCATCCAGCTGGTAAGTCTGTTGGGGGCATGAGGGGGTGGAGATCAAGGCCCCTGTGGTGAGGGAGTGGGGCAGGCACTGCACAGGCAGAGTGGGGCACGGGGTGGAGCCACAAGTGGCTCGTCTGGGGTGGGGGGGGGCTCCTGCC